ATGAGGATGTTAGGGGTCCGGTTGAAGTACCGGAGATTGAGAAGCTGGGAACGAGGGCTTGGAGGAAGAACATGCTATAAGGCAGACGAAAGATATGGATAATTTATGGAATGATACTCGATTCATACTACCTCAACAACTTCAATCGCATCTATCTAGCATACTGGGGTAGACTCTGAACATTTGTGCTCGACAAGGTCTGCTACAAAGCAGTTTCCCTTTCTTGAGCCGTGCCCAAGACCCTGGCCTGCACATGGTAGCATGTACCCTAAGGTGGCTGTGGATCAGGTACGACTCAGGAGAGCTGGACTTCTGCGTAGTGGGGTCGAAGCAGCGCTATAAGATGGCTGTTCAGGCTCTAGGATGACCCTTCTGCAATAGCCTATTAGGCTTCTTCTCTTTATGCTCCTTCTTTATGTCGCATGCGAACTAAGACATGCACCTGAATACAGTGCTGTCCTCATGCTCTTAGACAATCCGCGCGATCGCGAAAACACTGCAAGGCCAGATAATACCCAGGCTCACTTCTTCTTATGCCCACCCCCATTCACCAACTTCTTCTTCATATGCTTAGGCATCTTCTCCTTCCTCTTCTCGCGCTTCTCCTCCTTAATCGCCTTCTTATGCGCCACCTTCTCGTCATGATCGACATGCTTCTTTCCACGGCTGGGGCCCTTGTCGAAGATACTCTGATCAACCTCAGATCCAGAGCTACCGTCGTCGGACTCGGCATCTGAAGCATCAGAGCCGTTGTTAACAACGTTGTCGGCAAGGAGGGCTTGGTAGGGAAGGTCGGAGGCACCACCGGCGTTGACGAGCTCGGCGTCACGTTCGATGTCGTAGACTTGTTCGAGGGTTTGCGGGATGTATTGGTTGCGGAAGACGTCGTCGTCTTCTTCCTCTTTCTTCCGTTCCTCTTCGGTTAATGGCTCTTTGCTTAGGAGGCTGCGGATACTCTCTTCCATCTGCGTCTGCTCCTTGACGGTCTTGGCTCCTGCCGCGCTCGTAATGTAGGCATATGCCTTGCGCTCACTCAGCGTCTCGACGTTGCGTGAGCGGAAGAAGTCGGACACGTTCTTGACATCCATGCGCAGGAATTCGAGAGAGCGAGGATGGTCGTGCTCGACGGCTTGCGAGACATCGATGATCCACTGCTTGCCCTCGTGGTACAGAACGTTGTACTCGCTCAAATCTGCGTGTACAAGACGACATGTCTGGTACATGATGCGCATGTACGCCAGCATCTCGAGATATAGGCTTGTCCACTTCGCGTCCTCTTCATCTGCGGTAAGGCCCTCGAAGCGCACATCCTTCAGACGGGGCGCTGCCTTGCCTTTACGGTCGCCCACAAAGCCCATGACAAGAACGTGGTTCCGCAGCGCATGAGCCATTGGTGATGGAATGCCTGCATCGTGTATCCTGGCCAGATTCCTGCGCTCCTTGTCTGCCCACATCCGTACCATGGCGCGGTTGTTACTCTTGTTGTATCCCTGCCTAAAGCGGAACTCGCCCTCAACGTACTTTGCGCGGTCCTTGAAGACAAGGATGGACGTCTTGTACACCTTGACGGCACGGTGGATGGGGTCGGCGTCCTCTTCTGCGCCTTCCGTCATCGCATGATATACGTTGGCTTCTTTGCCCGTGGAGATGACACCGTGAATCTCTGAGATTACGCCGCGGTTTATGAGTTGCAGCAGGATCATCTGCGTCCTCCGATCCAAAACTTGTTCGGTTGTCGCGCGGTCCGCCTTGTCCTTGTCCCTTGCGTTGCCTCCAGATGCACCCGTCATGCGCCCGGTGAGGCGAATCTTGCCCGCATGCTTCGCGAGGGAGGCGACTTGGTCGTCGATGGAGGCATTTGTGTTGGCGGACGGCTTCTGTGGATTCGACTTGGGCTTGTGATCGTCTGGGATGTTCGTATCGTTTAGCTTTCGCTGGCGGTTGTAGGCTTTGGTGAAGTCGTGGTGGTCACCCGATATTAGTTCTGGCACTATCTCGTCTTCGTCTTCGAAAAGGTCGTCAATCTCGTTATCGTCATCGTTGGTAGGCGTTTCGTTTGTGACAGGCTTTTCAGCCTGGTCAACTTCTTCATGCTGTTGCTGTGGTAGCTCTACTCCTCCGTCGGTGGTGGCCATTTTGGTTGTATGTGGAATGTTTACAGGTTCTGAAGGATCGGCATGGGCATGTATATTTCGTCACACGTGAAATTCGAATAATTCTGCCACCGAGGGGCAACGGCGGGGCGAGCCTTGGAAGGCGGTGTAGCGACGAGTCACGTGCCGATAGTGAGCCCTGCCCATGGGCGCAAGTGAGCTTCGGCTTCAGTTGTGAATCTTGGTAGCCAGAAAAAATCAAGTGAAAAGCTTACTAGCTATTTCTGGGTAGCGCCCCGTTTACACCTGCATCTCACTTGTCTGGCACCGGGCGTCGGAGCGACTGCGCCGCCTACCAAACTGCACCTGTCAGACATGCCCCTTTGCAACCTCTCCGCGCGTCCGATGCGCCGACATGTTTGCAACCGGCCGTTGAAGAGACGTCATTGATAGACGGATGATCGCCAAGATTAGATAGGAGAGCGCGCATCGCTCCAGCTGTCAGGGCTGCCCAGGTGCGCATCGCAATGACGGGAAACGTCAATCCCTCCCACTTGCTGGGCGCAGCGGCACAGCCACATCCACGCAGCCGGCCAACTCCCAAAGCATAAGAATTAGTGGCTGGGAAGAAGAAACATGAGCCAGATGATGCCAGGCACTTCTCCATTCTGATAGGCGCCTGCGGCGTCGCCGCCATAACGGGCTCCGCGGCTCGACTATCCTGACACGCCCTAGTCTCCACAGACGGCTGGTGAAACACTTCAGGAGAGCCATCACAACCATTCAGGTCTACGCAGCGCTTGAACTGGAGACATGTTGCATGGGCTTGAGAAGCCGCATGGACTTCGGCCGCTGGCCGCTGATGCGCGTCCTGGCGCGCAGGGGAGATTGCTTCGTATAGCATTTCGTGACTTTTAATAGTCGGTGCTCCTCTGACACGCAGCACTGGCCTGCACTCTTTGTCTAACCTTTCATACATCACACTCTCTCAGTCGATTCTCTGGACGCAGGTCGACCTCAGTCACTACATTCTTTTCAACGCTCGCTTGCGAAGCACTACATTCCTTAACACCATTCTACGCATTGTTGACATTGTGTCTTGCGTGTGAAACGACTCCGTACAGCACATCTCGGACAGCTACTTCTTTTTGTCTTATCAACTTATCTCGAACAACTAGACTTTACCGAGATATCCACCATGCGCTTTTCCACATACACTACCGCGAGCGTGCTGGCTGCTCTAGCCACCGCTCAGACCTTCACTGATTGCAACCCCATGGAGAAGAAGTGCCCCAACAACCCTGCCATGCCGCAGAATTGGGAAACCGACTTCACTGCCGGAAAGGACGCTATCAAGGGATGGAAGCAGACTGCCGGTTCCCTGAAGTATGGACCCGAGGGCGCTGAGTTTACCGTTGCCAAGAAGGGTGATGCTCCCACCATTGGATCCGAGGCCATGCTTCACTTTGGATACGTTGAGGTCGTCATGAAGGCAGCTCCTGGCGTCGGCATTATTTCCTCCATTGTCCTTCAGTCTGACAACTTGGATGAAGTCGACTGGGAATGGATTGGTGGAGTAGACAGCCGTGTTCAGCAGAATTACTTCGGCAAGGTATGTGGACACGAATTGTACTTGTTTCTTTAAGAAGACTAACATCAGCCAGGGCAACACTACTACCTACGATCGCATGATCGAGGCCGATGCACTAAACAACCAGAACGAGTTCCACAAGTACGCTCTCAACTGGACTTCTGAATCGCTCACCTGGATTGTTGATGACAAGCCCACCCGTACCTTGAACTTTGCCGATGCCAACGGCGGCAAGAACTACCCCCAGACGCCCTGCAATGTTCGTCTCGGAAACTGGCCAGGCGGTGACTCCAAGGATGAAGGCACTCGCCAGTGGGCGGGAGGAAATGTCACCTACGATGATGCGCCCTTCACCATGACCGTCAAGAGCATCAAGGTCATCAACTACTCGCCCGGCAAGGAATATGAGTGGACCGACAAGACCGGCGATTTCAAGTCTATCAAGGTCATCGATGCCGGTAACACAGAAGGTGCTCCTGTGAACAGCGTAGCCATCGAAGACTCGGCTGCCGCTACCGGAGCTCCCATCGAGTCTGGCATCGACGCCCCAGCCGCCACCGGTGGTTCTGACAGCGGTTCTGACTCCAAGCCCTCCGGTGCATCCACCACCTGCACAGAGAGCGACGCAGCAAAGCCCACACCTCCCGCTGTCCCAGCAGGCGGCAACGGCGGATCCGGCTTCAACTACCCCACCGGCGGCGCCGCTGTCCCCCAAGAGTCAGGCAGCCCTGACTCCCTCACCGGCAGCGACAGCGAAGATGAGCCTTGCGAGTGCGGTACTGCTACTGTCACCGTCACCGGCGCTCCCCCAGCAATCACCAACGCACCACCCGCCACCTTCACGACTGAGTACCCTGCCGTGCCCATCTCCAGTCTGATCACTTCCGCGGCAGCTTCATCACCTCCTTACCCCACCGAGTCTGGTCTGGAGATCGACACGAGGTCCGCACCTGGTGTCGTTGTGCCATCAATTGCGCCTACCGGTGCGCTGCCCCAGCCCTCTGGCAACGCTACCTTCTCTGCCCCACCATCGCAGTTCACTGGTGCGGCGAGCCATGTCAAGGCGGGTGGTCTTGTTGGTGCTGTTATGGGTGCCGTCTTGCTTGCGTTCTAAATCGCTTGACGGAAGTTCTGATGATATAGGAAAATATATGCAAGGGGAAAATACGTTGGTTGTAAATATTATTTCTGCGGTAGAGCGTTCGATACGCACACTACATTTTTGACGACAAAGACATGTTTTGATCAAAGTCCTTGGTCCGTTGAAGGTGAATTCTTAGGGAGAATCGCTACTAAACTTTGCCATGCGTGAGATACTACCGATAGAACTTGTCCTTCCTAGCCGGCTTTCCATCCATAAGTCCAATCCTCCCTACATCATCATCAGGATCCATATCTGCCACAAAACCCGGAATCTCGTGCAGAGCTTCGCACTCTTCAATATCAGCAATCGTAGAAAACCGTTGAAGCTTCGCTCGGTACGTCTGCTGCAACTCGGCCCCAAGCCTGAAGACTGTATGCCCATCCAGAATCGCGCTCCATCGTCGCCGGAAGCCATAGACAAGGCAGAGTCCTGAGCTGATCAAGGCCCACAATCCGAATAAAGCCACAGGAACAGCGGCTGGCATGACGCCCGGTCCAATTACGGTGCCAGCGACAAAAGCCGTGAGGTCGGGGACGTGTGACTTGAGGCTTGTTCTGTTGATTCCGATGAAGTCTCGACCGTCATTGTACATGAGCTTGATGGCGTAGGTGGAGTAAGCTTGTAGAAGTACCTGTCGAAGTTGGTCGGCTTGCAGATATTCGAGTTGAGCAATAGCTCTCAAGTTGCCAACAGCAATCTCTGCAGCATTCACTATAGATGTGTCAAACGGTGACGGTAGGCCTATCGATTCAAACAGCCATCTCAGCCAACCATCGTCTTTGATGTTGAGTGTACACGCGAGTGTTTCTGCGCCAAAGCGTTTCGCACAATCATTCTTTAGAGTAGGTACCGGAGTGTCGCTCCGTTGGAAGTTGGAGTAGGTAGATCGCACGCCGTCGATGTCTGCTGAGCCTACACTGCTGCTTGACGTACAGGATGCACCAATAGCTTCGAGTTTCTTACCATAAACATTGACGTACTCACCAGTCAGCGACTCGATATTACGGATGATGGTGCTGCCCATAGAAACTAAAGACACGGGAAGTGTCTGCCACAACAGAACCTCAAAAGTAGTCTTGTATTCGATTCCGGGATACGGTTTTGAAGGATCCTCTTGCAGATCATGGTAGCAGTAAGACGTTGGTGGGTCTTCCCTCTCAATAGACCAACCGCAGGGTGGTTCGTCGTTTGAGCCTGTTGGTGGGGACAGGGATTGATACGCAGTCTCTATAACTCCACCGATATCTATAGCCCAACTCAGTAATCCGGGATCGAATCGTCCAGCGAAATTCCATCCGGACACTCTCTTTACCTCCACGAGGGTATTGTTGTCATGGAGGCGGTATGACTTGTACTTGAATCGGTCATCATCGTCGAAACTGGAGCTACACCAGGGACGTATGTCGGTCTTAACGGGAAGGCTGATGTTGGAGATTCGTCGATGGGAGGATCCTCATCCGCACTTCGCGCCGTTCCTGTTTGTTCGAAATTACGAAATATCTTGTTGCTTCGCCAGACGTCTGTTGAGAATCGACGGTCTTTTAAGAGAACGAAGTCAGACAATTCGTCTACGATGTTGCAGTCGTAATGTAGCAACAGACCCCAAGCTTTTCCTTCGATAGGAGTTTCACCTTGAGCGGTCAAAAATACTTCTTCGACGCTCTCAGTGTTCGGCAGTATCACGGGGATATTCTTCAAAAACTCCTTCTTCGATCGATTGAAGTTCTCAGGTGTATAAACAGCACCGTGTCCGAAAACACGTGCGCCGATGTAGGATCCTCTAGACGGCCTACGACCCCCAGGGTCGGCGTTGAACGTCGATTGAACGAATCCGGTAACATCCGCTCCTTGCCCTGGCTTACCATGAAGGAAACCACTGGTCATCTCAAGACAAAGACCTGATAAGGGCCAAGCGACGAAGACAACCACGCTTGGAAGTGCTAGAACGAACCACAGCCGAGAAGGGATCTTGCTACGCTGGTTGCGCGCCCTGCGTCTTTGCACAACCCATTTGATTGCTTTCATCCAGCCCCCAGGGCCAGACCACGTGTTGTCAGCATGCAACATAAGACGCATGGCATCTTCAACTCTCCAGGTTCGTTCCGTAAGCATGCCAGCCTCTGCGCCAGCCAGTCCGTAGAGACTTAAGCTCATCCCGATCACCCCCGCGACGAACCAACCGTAGAAGACCCATTTGGCACCCGGCGGTCCAAAGGCTGCTGTCGAGTCGGGGTGGAGTGAGGCGAGGTAGACGTGCCAGATGGTGATGAAATAAGATACTACGATTACCAGTCCAAAGATGCCGACTATCGTGCAGAAGTAAAAGCAGCGAAGAGGTTGACCGAATGAACCGAGGCCCGCTTCTGGCGAGATATTAGAATCCGCACCATCCATATACTCTGAGGTGAGACTGGCTGCGTGGTTTTGCAAATAGATTTCGGACGGGTGATCAACCGCACCCGCACCAGAACTCTGCGAGTAGCCGTTGACGCTCTCATTCTGGGGGTATGATTTGACGTTGCCATTGTGTTGATGTTGAGTACTTTCAAGGTTCTGTTGGTGATCGTATTCTGAGGCGAAGCCGTGCTCAGAGAGCAGGCTGACTGGGGAGACCTCAGTCGTGAGCCCCTGCGGTCTGCAATTGTCAGTCACAAACCCAGGTCTCATCGCAGAACGAAGCTTACCGGTACTCGGACTCATACTCCTCCATCTCCCAAGCAAGGGCTCCAGGCACACCGAGTAAGCTGTAACGTTGAGAACTCATGTCGACCAGACGGCGAAGATGAGACGCAAACTTTCGCAGTAAAGTGGGAAGTGGCAGGGGCTGGACAGCGAGCCATCTTGTATATGAGGTGCATTGCTACCCGTTTCTTTGGCATCGCGGTTTCATCCTTGTGATGTTGCACAAGGCTGTGGTCGAGGTGTGGGAGCGAGAGAGCGAGATTGAACTCTAGCCTTGCACCTTCTGTATTGGCAACCAGCTGTTCGGGGTCCACATGACAACACCGATCGCTCACTATTGGCAGGCACCATGGAGATCTTATCTTGATATTGCGCTATTATTCCTGCGACTACATGGGTATTGCTCCTTGTAATCCCGGTGAAAATTGGTGCAACCACCTGGCGAATCGCGTGTAGAGTATGTGTGCACAATACAGGACCAGTCCGCGCAGCACTAAATGCACCTTCCCAAGCACCTTCCCTGATGACAGAATGAATAGAGTGCGCCTTTGACTCAGAGTGCGGGTTGGTCATTGGGTTCCTGATAACAGAGCTGGCCTTTGTGCCTCAACACCACCCCCCGTTGATGGTCACTCCCACGAGACATCCAACCACCACTCCCCCGTAGTTCAGACATCCCGAACCGTAACCCTAAGATTAGGACCAATCTCCCGCCTCACAACATAAAACCCACTGTCTTCCCTCCTTTCCGTGGTGTACTGATGCTGTTTACTCCTCTGCCACCACTTCTTCTTAGCAGCACGCGAGCACTTTGCCTTGATACAACTAATCCATTTGGAGCATTTGCAAAGCGAAAGTCTGTACCATGCACATTTTCCGCCACTTCCAGCCCCGTCCGCTCCTGCTTGTTTAGCGTTTTGCTTATCACTAGCAACACCCTCGGCTGCGGGCACACCTCGTGGGTGCAGAGCTGGCGGCTGCCGCTTCGTCCGTCTATCTCTCTGGCCCCACTTTGTACGACGTTGAACTCCTTCGATCAGGGACCCGGGGATGAGGTATAACGATGGGTCGGGAGGGTGGGGGTTGACGAGACCGTAGGGGGTGCTGAAGGGTGTGGGTGTGATGGGTTGGAGGTAAGAGAACTTGGTTTCGGAGCGGAGTTCCGGGGTTGGCGCGGCGGTGCAGTGGCTTCGCGTACGTCTGAGGTCGGGCGAAGAATGTGATGCTGGATCATGTTTTGCAGGCGCTTTCTGGTATGAACTGGAATAGTCTGTGGGGCCGGGATGGCGGTGGTAAAGGTTTGTGGAGGAAGATGCCGCTTCATGCTTGACTTTGCTCGCTCCTGTCGGGATGTAGTATCCCTTCTCTGGTTCCTCTCCTATTTTGACTTTGGAGGCTGGGTGCGACGCATCGAAGTCACGGAACGTCTCGACAGCAAACCTTTTGTAGCTTGAGCTAACCGACGGACCTGAAGTTTGGCTCCGTAGTGACAGTACGTCTCTATGTACCAGAGAAACATCGCTCTCCTTCTTGACTACCGTAGACCGATAGAACTGTTCAGCCATGAGAGTTGGCACACGGAGTGGAGATTTGGACCAGGCTGTTGTGATGGATGGGTAGCGTGGAGGTGTATCGGGATCGGCTTTATCTTCGACCTTGATGTGGACTGTATGATGACGGGAGGAAGGCCCTCCGGGCTTGACTACTTTCGCTTCTTCCCTGTAGTCTTGACGTGGAGATGCTGGCGAGGTTGGGTATACCGTGTTATCGGGACTCTCGGGCTCAACTTTTACTCTTGCGCGAGTCTCTTGCTTCTTTCCCACTACTGCTATAGTGCTATCAGTTCCAAGCGCGCTGAACCGCCCAGGTATTTGTATGATTTCGGGAGTCCTTGAAGGCACAACATTTCTGCTTTGTGTACGAAGATCCCGTCCTGAAGAGTTTCGCCTGGATTCGGTGACCTTGGGGAGGACCATTGTATGCCAGGGCTATCTTGCTTGATAAGGTTTCGATAGTATAGTAGATGATTGCGACGCAGAACTCGTTCCCTGTCCTCGCAATCTTCGACGATGTTGCTGAATAATTGAATGCAGGTAGGCGTGCAGGACAGTTTTTAGACAATCGAAATGCTTGGTGAGTGAGTAAAGATAGAGCCCGGTGATGTGCCATCGGTTGCCGACGATGGGACAACGTGATCGGGGAGGGGCCTGGACGCGGTAGATGCTGTGAGGTCTGCAGGGCAATTACGAATTTCGCTGGTCGTCTACTCAGTGTGGCATGTCATGTGTGGGCGTACCTGAGGAAAGGGTTCTTGGTGGACCCGTACGCCCAAGATTCAATCGACCACCTGTTCTTCGCGGATAAAGACACGTAAGCTGTTTTGGTAATGATTTGATGTAAACATGCCCAAATGGAAATGTAATGAAGACGTCGGACCAGCGCAAAGAAGACGATCTTGACGAAGTTATGGCATTGTCTGTCGAATGCAAGATTGAAAAACCTGCGTCAGCTGACCACCCATTGACACTGACACTGGCTCAAATGCGTCTCTTCCCGTTGCTCTCGATGCCTAATACGTCCCATACGTTGCGATGTGGAAACTGGAACATTACCCTTGGAATTGTCCAAACGCAACATTACCTCCTCCGAAAGTGGAGCAAGGGTACCGTCCGATTCCATAGTCGTTTTCGAACAATAAGGGGTCTTTCCATTTGGCGTCCACTCCTCGACCAACTCAACGGCGTAGGGGAAATCCGGCAGCCTAGTGGAACTATCCACATCGACCGTGCCTGATGCAGTGTTGGTAGCGCTGGCAGTTGTAGCTCTGGTAGGGTAGATATGACCCTCAATCAGCGTCTCATTGAAGATGCACTGCCACAGACTATCTCCGGGTTGAAATAGAGTGTTCGAAGTCGCAGGATGCATCAGTAGCGCTTCAGCCAGAGATAGCTCATCCTCACTGAGCAATACAATCTTGTCGTAGGTAGTGCGGAAGTGATAAGCAAAATCATTTTCGTGCTCAGCATTGGTAATTGCTAGAAGCTCCAAAGGTGGAATGTTCGGTACGAGTTCGCCATGGCGGACAGTATCGTTGCTTCTCGATGGCCCCACCGCTATCATGATCGTCCCGTCGTCGCCCGCCAAAGCTGGAAGTATGCTTAGCTGAAAGGTTGTTTCAGACGCGCATTGCCATGCATTTATCTGATCCTTGCTTGCCAGACATGCCATACTCTGTTGCTGCGGAACTTCAACAGGCAACGCAAAGATTCCACGTCGGAGGTTGTTGGTAATGTTGGTACTTGAAGGGCCATTGCTAGCAACGTGTGCTGTCGCATCCTCATCACTGTAGGCTCTATGTTAACGGCGTCCTTATGATTTGACTTCGTACATCTTACTTGGTGGAAGAACGATCTTTGACGGCCAGAAGACTCAGCCCGATCGTAAAGAGCATCAGAAATTGTAAACTCAGCAAAGTTAAGATGCGTTGCCGCTGAGACATTCGCTGCCATATACATCTCGGAAGGCTAGGCAGAGGCTTGTTGAAATTATGGACTTCCTCCCATGACGGTACGAAAACTTCTTTCTCTTCTTGATCTGGGCTGAGTATAGGAGCCGAGAGGATGTTACTCCTTTCGAAAGGGACCGCCTCGATCCCATCCTCGATCTTTCTGATTAGGCATGTTCCCGAATGAATTCCAGATGTGTTTGTTGAGTCAGAGCCCCCGTAGTTGGCTGGGAAGGTGGTATAAATGCTAGGGAGTGGCTGAATGCTGCTGATTGACCGATAAGGCAGCCGCATGAGTGCAGTCCAAAGTTATTTTCGAATAAATATTGATAAAGAATGTATTCCCGGCGTTGGATCTGGACCGGCCAGACACGCAGGGCTGCAGGAAGCGAATGAGAGAATAGAGAGCGAGTAAAAATAATGAGTGCCGCATACCAGAAATAGTCCCACATGAAGGAATATAAACATTTGCTCACGACCTGTTGAGTTCATGAGAAGTATGTGCCGTGCTTGCATATCGCTTTAGCTACGCCGTGCTCATACTACAGCTCGATATCCAATCGAACACCCACCACAAGCAGGGTCTGCCTGTATCTCGGCTCGTGTTTGCTATCAGATCAAGGACAGATTGAGTAAGAGGCTGGAAGTGTAATCGTTAGCAGCCTAGAGTATTGGCTCTGCGCTACCCATATGCGATGGATTGTAGGTAGACTATACGATAGCCGCCCATCCTCATGCCGGTCCTCGGGACGGCCGTGGTGCCTGGGAAGCCAAAGCGCGGACCGGACCAAATGCGAACAGCTGTTGCGAAGAATGGGATCGGAAAACATTGTTGGATTTGTGCGCTATGCGTGATTCTGGGCCACGCATATACTTGCCGGCGTAGAGTATTATTGGCAAGCTGTGCTCGATACCGAGAGATTCAACTGCAGAAGTTGCGAGTGGAGACCTCCGTATTGAATCGAACATGGCTGTTGGAGCAAGCAGCGGGAAAGGTTGCACCGTGTGTCAACGCGCGTGTTTGGTGTGTGACGACTAGCCGCCGCCCAGACGTGCCGCAGGTCGCATCACGGGTCAAAGACAGCGATCGAGCAGAGCTGTCGGCCTGTATCTCTGCCGTCTCGTTCATTTACCGCCGAGTGTAGAATTGCAGCACGTGTGAAAGCTCATGCTTCGTCGATGGCCTAAGTGATGGGTCCAGGGTACGGAGACGCGTCGTGGAAATGTGGGTGGTTGGTTGTGCTAGCTCCACCAGCTCTTCCGAGGCGGGCAGGATCGACCCGAAGCGCGTCAGGAACCCGACCAATACGTTCACGACCCTCCAAAGACACCCCATCAACTCCCCGCCTCCTCTTGGTGAGGAACAAGACGCGCTTCGAATTGTGCAGTTGCGTTCCCGTTCAAAGAGTGCACTAATATCTACCCCGTTATACAGTCTGTTCCCCGGTGAACGCAGAGGCCACCAAGTTTCGCAAATATTGACATGTTTCGAAACAAGAAACAGTGCACCAGCGTCATCTCACCATCGTTTCGAAGACAGGCAATCTTCAGCATTTTATACTGAATTGTGCATATTTCCTACTTCGATAGAGCTGACCAACATGGCTCCCCTGGCGTCATCCGCTCTGTTTCCAAACATGCCAAGCTGAACGAGTAGGAGACTGAGCATCAAGATGCCGACATGCTTGCTGATGATCCCATGTTCTCTGCTAATATTAGACATCTGAGAGAGGTAGCGTGCCTGAAGTGGTTCAAGGCTGCGACAACTAAGCTGCAAAGGTGCTGAGCTCATCCACCCAGCCCGAATGTGTGCCACGATGACGGGAGGAAAAACTCAGCCCCAGATCTGAAGCGTATAATACTTGAGCATGAACCGCTGAGAAGTGCTTTTTCGTCCCTCTCCTCGTATTATACCCACTCCTACGCTCAGCCAATATGGAATTATTACAACCTTCTCCCCGCACAGCGCCCGCCTCTATGACATTGATGGCAAGACGACAAAAGATAAATCGGCTGCTGTTCGCATCGAGCGCTTTACTTTGTGCTCTATCCATCACCGTATTCGGATTGATCAGTTCTGTGGTGGCTTGGATACATGACCAGAAGCATCAGGTGCATGTGTATCATGTGAACTGGCCTGGAAATCCGACCCAAATCAATGTCGAGCCCAAGAATGTGTGGACGGACCAAGGGCACGAGAGCAACGGCGCAGCAGTATATGGATTCTTCCTGGGCATTTTTGGCATGGTGACAGCATGGAGGATGAGAAAGACTGGACAGGTACGGTAACAATGTTCACGGTCTTTTGAACAGGGTACTAAAAGTTGTGAATAGGGTCGAAAAAGTCTTAGCGCCCTTGCTATCCTGTCGTTGCTTGGAAGCGTGTTCTGCCTATCGGCGTTCATCTTCGTCTTCGTAGTCACATACCAGACGACTGGCCAGCACATCAAGGAACCTATCGCATCCAACACAGTCGGCATAAATTACCCATATTTGAGATGGACGCCCGAGACGTGGTTCAAGGCCGTCCTAGATCTTCCTCTGGCTGACAGAGCGCAAGCCGCCGAGATCAAACTAAGGGTTGGTTGCATGGTAGCCTGGCGGTGGATATTGCTTCCTCTCTTACTTGTATATATCATGACCTTTTGCGTCGCAGTGATGACTTGGTCAAGGCGGCGGAGAGACGACGTGCTGGTGCGGACGAGTTCAGGGCATTCTGTGGAGGAGAAGGGGTCACGATGAATGGCATGGCGGTACACATGACATTTAGCGAGTTGGCGAGGTGCATGTGCGAACCTCGGCGCGTGACAAAAAATGTCCCCACCAAGCTCCGACTCTCTTCAACCCGCAATACGAACACATACAAACACACGCACTCCCCTCTCCTCTCCTCTCCCCTTCTCTCCCCGACGAGAGCCTTCGCTATGGGCTGGCTCATCTACCTCGCCGCCATGCCGCCCGCGCTCATCATAGCCATGCGCCTGCTCTCGCTGGTGCTGCCCGCGAAGCCCGCCCAGCTGGTGTCTTACTACGCCTTCGCAATAAGCTCCATGCTCCTCATGCTCTGCTGCGCGCTGTACGGCACCCTCGTGGCTATACCTCTACGCCTTGTGGGCTACGGTGGACTGATCCAGTGGACGGTTGCGCGGGCGTTCAAATGGGTCATGTGGTTGTGCACCGGCGTAACATTCAGAGTGACGGGGAGCATGAAGAAAGAGGGCGGTCTCAGTGGAGAAGACGCCCTCAGGGACCGTCCCGCCATTTTTGTGGGCAACCACCAGACGTGGGTTCACCAGGTCCTTTGGCTAGGCCAACTCTTGACTGCGGCGCTGACACTTCCTGCAGCGAACTCGACGTCCTCATGCTCGGCTGCATGTTCCCCAAATACACGTCCGTCACGGCCAAGAAGTCGCTGAAATACGTTCCCCTACTCGGCTGGTTCATGGCCCTCTCCAAAACCGTCTTCATAGA